TTCTCCTGGAATACCGGGAATTCCATATTTTCTTATAATTTGGAAAAAAGAAGAAAACTATAGTCTGACACGATTCTTCTATTCGACTCGGGCAATATCTTCTCCAAGGGTCGTCGAATATTTCGAGGAACCAGGAGAAGGAAGTGACCCGAGTTGGCCAAGTTATAGGGCAAACGAGAAATACGGGTATGCCAATTTCATTTAGGGCCGAGATGAAAATAGCGTGGATGAAGGACGGCAGGATAACAGAGGCATGTCAGAGGACGTCGTTAATATTATAGCGGCGTCGCGTGTCATGTTATCGAGGCGCGTATATGTTATCGTAATAATGTCGGCCAGGTTAGAATGCTTTGTCGAGTGTTATATGGGTAACTGTACACCGCAATATTGATATCACATCATTTCGAGCCACGGAGACGCGTTCAAAGGCTGGCCGGGATTTGTAATTCATGGAATGGCCTGGCGCTCCTCTCTCTCTCTCTGGATCACCTCCGTTGAAATTCAATTCTCGTTAACTTACTATGCTCCAATCGAAACGTAATGCAGCCGTCAACCCGATAAACGAACCTCTCTCTCTCTCATCTCATCGTGGACCAAACACCTCCGGATTCAATGCAAACTTCCTCCCATTGATAGAGCGCATACAGCACAGAAATCTCTTGAAACAGTAAAGCCAAAGTATCGTCGTTTCTGCAAACTCGTTAAAATCTCCCGTGACCTTGAGTGACCTTCAATGACCTTGAACGATCTCCTATCGCAAAGAAAATAGTATTCAGAGAAAACTATGGCTATAGATATCTTTTTTTTTTTTGCAATTTTTCCTTTCATTATTTCAATTTCACAATTTAGATCAGGAAATTGGACGGAGTCTCCGATGTATACTTTATTTAGACGCAATATCAAGAATGATCGATGATCACAGGAGCATAAGTCGGACGGAATAGCAAGTATAATCGAACAAATGCGTAATTACTTTTTTCCTCGGCGTTTTAACAAAAACGCGGCGCTTCAATCTTCTAATTAGCATCGCTTGTACAAAGCATGCCGAATCAAAATGCTTTATACAATGGCAGAGGTACACCCTATTTCGAGTCCCGTGTATATAGAGACATAGTTTTAACGTCGTGTCACGTATTTTAATTAACGCGAGTCATACACAGTGTTTCAGAGGGCGGGGCAACAAAGAATAGCAGTTTAAACGTGGAAAACAGCCCGCCGTTATTTTTGCCCGCAGAGAAAATGTAATTTACATTAAAGAACGGTCACATTTTTCTCTCCTTTTTTTTTTCTCAAACGAAACGACCGCGTATCGTGTGATTTAACCCGGAAACTTTCGAGAAAAACAGTGTCGCTTTTGAAAAGAGAGGAAGAGAGGGAGAAAAACAAATAGTAATGTATGCAATTAAATCATTAGCCTTTAGGAACGTTCGTTATGTTTCGCAGGGAAAGCTTCACTTCGTTACACGCTCTAACTATCTTCCGCGACAAACGTCAACCCTTCTACACGCCGCCTCTATGAAAAACCATTATTCACCCGACTAATTTCATCCCTGCTTTGACTACGACACATATTCCTCCCGATAATCCAAGTGCGTTGTTCTCGTTTCGAAGGAAACTGAAATATCAATTCACTGAGCATTTAGCGCAACAGATTAATTGCACAAAGCGTTACTGTTCCGATGCAATTATCATTCGGTACCGTTAATCAATAGCTAGGCGAGTAAATAAATCATTATTCGATGAAAATTATAATTAGAACTGACGTCGTTAATATCATCCTCCACTTGTTAAACCGTGAAATTGCGTCTCTGTGCGCCGGGTGTGACGGTCGACGACATGAAAACGAGATAATCCCAAGATTTTATTCCAAGCTACATTTACCGAACGAAGGAAGTAACTCGGTTTCCAGAGAGAGAACGTTGCAAGTGAACAGAACGACGTATGTACGTCAAAATCAAGTTAGACACACCGCATCCTCGTTTTCAAGCTTGTTGTCTGGCCCACAGTGCTTGGTATCTTCTGGTTCAACAAGCTGAAACCGTGGCAAATAATGAAAAGCGAAACGGCAAGCGCCTAGCTTGTTGTCTGGCCCACAGTGCTTGGGTATCTTCTGGTTCAACAAGCTGAAACCGTGGCAAATAATGAAAAGCGAAACGGCAAGCGCCTAAGGCTGACGTCCAAACTTCAGTTTGATGTTTGTAATCAAGGGCAGTTTGCGTTAGCCCGGGGAACAGCTTCTCCGGCTTCGAGAAGAAGAGCGTGTGTTATCGGTGATCGTGCGTGCAATCTTTGGGACGCCGACAAGAAGAACAGTTTCAATGGTAGGTGTACGATATCTGAAACGGATAGTTCTGGCTTTAACCCAAAATCTCCTGTAGCCCGTAAGTTTGGAGAGCGAGCTCGAAAATACTCGTCGATACGATGGACATCGGGCAAGCCAATATTCTGGTTACAGGACTTCGGCCAACCTCAGAATCGTGCAATACAGTTTCACCTGAATTTGACGCAATGTTCGACCCTTGAAATTGTTCTTCGTTGCTATTTAACCCTTTCACTGCTGTTGGCGCCTACAAGCGTTTGGAAAATTTCGATGAATAGTGTTCTGTTTTGCTCCCACTGTGCTGTTACCGCCTTTTGGCGCAATTTAATCCTTAATTTTTGCTCCCTGCACACTTCCATCATAATTGAATAAAACAAATTTTAAAACGACGCGACCAAAACGAAAGATTTTACGAAAGGGTTAAATCGGTTTATCTTGGGTGAATTGACCCTTTCGACGCGGCTTCATCTTCGGCCACAGTTTTATCGCGAATAGCAGTTAAATTTTAGCAAGGAGCGTGGCAGTTCAATTTTGCCGTACGATGTAACGAATTGGCGGGAAGAAATCATACTTTAACACGTTTTACAGTTACAACACTTTGTGGAGGGTGCGGCACTGCCAACAAGCCCTTACTTTCTCCATTCCAACTCCTTCAGATTTTTAGTTTCTCTCGTCTCTCCCCGGGTTGAGATTCTTGCCTTCGTCCTCGAGTGGCCTAAGAAGCGCACATGTGGCATTCAGGTTTCTACAAATTTTCCGTTTCCACCGCTCCCTCTTTCTCTACTCCTGTCTTTCTGTCCTACCGATATAAAAATCCAGTACACCCCGGGTCAGTTTTTCTTCTATCTGCCCAATAGCCGTGCCGCAGGACCACGTGTAAAACAATTGTATTTTCCCGGCGAATTGTACACCTACCATCGTCGCTATCGATCTTACCGACCGGGAGCCCATTGATCGGCTTTTCGCTCACCGCTCTTTAACGTTATTAACTTTAATGTCCCTGTAATAAGAGAAAGCGAACGATATAGTAGGCACTCTGACCAATTTTAACTGAAAATTTGTATAGCTGCAAGAATAGGCGCTTATATTCCCGCGCGATAGTAAAGACGGAGCCCGAAGAGAGTTCAACAACAAGCGGTCGGTAAAGTGTTAATAAATTCAGGTGAAAACATTGAAACAGCGTTCCTTCACCCGCCTCAACTTCATAAAATTGCTCGACAATATCATTTCGTGTGGAAGATCTGAAAACAGCGGCCGTTAATTCACAGCGAGCATCCAATCGCCGTTAGTGTCGAAAGGGTTAATAGAAGCTCGCGACATCTTTCGTTTGCAAATTTCGAAATTCGAAACGATCGGTTCTTCTTTCTCGTCGGGGAATCAGGTCGGTGCGTGGCAGATGTTGCAAATAACGGAGAATCGTCTCTGTTCTATCGGGAGCGCACGTCTTTAAACCGTTTATAACAGTTTTACGATCGAACCACTCGCAGCGGTTGGCCGATCTAGAGGAAATCCATGTCAGGTGGACCAGTCGGTGTAATAAAACTGCTCAGCCAACAGACATGGACAGCTGAATTTCATCGAGTTTCGGGTAGGAAGAAGTGTTTTAGCGTCGCGGAGATTTCACGGTAATGGGAAACGATCCTCGAGGACGATCTTACCCGAGAGGATCTTCGTGAAATAGTAGACATCTGTGAAAGAAAAGGCTACATACTTTTGTCAAATATATGCTGCAACATTTTAATAACAAAATTATATTTACGTGGCTTACAATTTAAGTTAGAACGTAGAAGGAATATGCGTACATTTGTTATGACGATCAAATGGAATACTTACATAAATATTATATTATACGCTAAAAATACGCAGATCTAGGAATGATACCAATTATTCGTGTTACGATAAAGATTTGTCTTCCAAAGAGGTTCACGTAACACGCAGTGTAACATTTACACAGGATAATATGTGTATAGTAAAAATGTCGATTATTCGAGAATTCCACAATGTTCAATCGATCATTTTTTTTTTGCTTTTTCTAACTCTGGCCGAAAACTCGAATTACACTTTACAAGACAAGAAAGATGAAGATCGATACTATAATTGATTTAAGAATTGGTAAAATTTGAACAATAAAATCGTATAAAAGCATGGTAAAAATACGAAGTGCATAATTGTAATACAATAAATTTATTTCGAATACAATAAATTCGACTGAAAGGTCGACTGCGTTGAACTTGCCGGGTTCACCATTCTCGCATCCGCAGAACGATCAACTCGCACACTTCCTATCTAACTTGCGCGCATCTTTGTATAACGAGCTACGTATGTTAAAATCGTTAGTTTCACATAGTTGTAAAGAGGAAAATAATTCATTAGGCTATATCAACGGAGTATAACTTAAAATCGAAGAAAGATAATATAGATACGTAATAACACGGAGTTTGTTCATGGTTAACACGTGCATTCAACGAAACGCTGAGAAAATCATTTGAAATTATTTCTATTAGTAAAATAAAAGTACAATTCGATTGAAAATTTACCGATGTAGAAAAGCATCGACAACGTATTGTAATTAGCACAAACATAAAACGAACACACGTAACGTTATTGTGAACAATCTATTTTACCAACTTGAAAACATTAAGATATCCTGGCTTAAACATATTCGTACGTACCTGTATACATGACGGTACGTTTTGATCAATCCACGCAATTATCTGAAACCTAACTGCGAATTTTGCTTAGCTAGACATGTAATCCACGTTGATCATTCTAGATCAGTGACGGCGAACCTATGACACGCGTGTCAAAGGCGACACGCCAAGGCATTTTGGATGGCACACGTCGTTTACGGACGAAACCGAGCAGATCACAAACAATCATCACACGAACAACAACGGTGTCATCAACGAGGTTCAGAATCGTTAATTCGGAGCTGAACCATAGCGAGTCCGTGATCGTACAAGGTCGTAACGCTCGCAACAGTTGTGAACATTTCTAGACGTGACGCGGTACCCGAGTTGAGCTGGGTTTTTTCCCAATTTTGACACACCGGGCTCAAAAGGTTCGCCGTCACTGTTCCAGATTATTCGAAATTTACCTTCCCCTTTCGACAAACCGCTTTTTCTACCGCTGAGATGTACATTTACAGCCAGGGAAAAAAAACAATAAAAGCAACATATACGAAAGTTTAAAAAATCGAGTACACAGAGATGCGCCCTATACTCGCTCTTTCGGTCACGCGAAGCTACGCGATCCGGTTCGTAGATGTGGCCGTTTCTGCTAAAAACGAGAATAAAATACACTTGCCGTGTCTTTGTGATCGCGTAAGAGAAGGTGGGCCTATTACGCGTTCCTTCCGCTAACCAACTTCTCATCTCTGCACAGTAGGTATGTAGATTAGATCTACACACGGAGATAGAACTATCACGTCAGGAGCAGAATCGGTGTACCGAAGCTCGCAGGTCGTCCTTTCAAATACAGAAAATAAAGAACAGCTTTTAAGCGTTCGGTGAAAGAAGCATGCACAAAATGGCGAATGACCTTGAAAAATATCATAGGTCAGTGGATTCACCTCGATAAATTTGGAATAACGTTGAATGACCTTGAAAGATACCATAGGTCGATGAACTCACCTCGATAAATTAGAAATGACCTTGAAAGACTAAAGTAGGTCAGTGGATTCACATCGATAAATTTGGAATGACCTCGAAAGGTACCATAGGTCGACGAATTCACCTCGATAAATTTGGAATGACCTTGAAAGACTAAAGTAGGTCAGTGGATTCACATCGACAAATTTGGAACGACCTCGAAAGGTACCATAGGTCGATGAATTCACCTCGATAAATTTGGAATAACCTTGAAAAATATCATAGGTCAATGAACTCATCCCGATAAATTTGGAATAAATTGCTACGCACCATCTAGACATTTAGGAAGTAGAGCGGCTTTTCACAGTCCAACGCACAAATCGAAACACAGTATATCTGACCCAATAAATCGCATTTCTACTTTATACAATTCCCTTATGCATGAAGCAGACCTTTTTAATGTATCACTAGCCACCCTCAAAAGGAATCTTCAACAAGTCCCTAGAACGGCTCAAGTATAATAGATGTAGATTAATATCGTATAAATGTGTCTGCACTAGCTGTATAAGTTTGTAAAAAAGGGCATAGCCCGTTAATTGTATTATTCAATAATAATAATATCTAATAATATCTAATGACCATGAATGACCAAAGTAGGTCAATGGATTCATCTCGATAAATTTGGAACAACCTTGAATGACCTTGAAAGACCAAAGTAAGTCGATGAGTTCGTCTGGAAATGAACTACAGTCTAGCTAAGCAAAAGTATACAGTTCCATTCGAAAACAGCAAAGGTTACCTTGAAATTCTTGAAGAACCTCTACCTAGAGAAGAATTGTGTCCATCGTAAGATGTCCCCTTCGAAACAGAGTAACTTGTACCTGAAGTATTTTCCGAATAACGAACAGATCCAAAGATAATTGCGTGGATTGATCGAAATGAAACACTCTGTATACTACACTAATATATCACTTTCTTCAGTATCCTTCCAAACAAGCATCTTATTCGGAAAATACTCGAAACCAACGAAAAACATCTGTTACGCCGCTGTAATAATGCCAACACACTGAAGAACTGAATAAATATCGAAACAAAGAATACTGTAGGAATCGAAAAAAAAGAAAGGCCTCGTCGCGCAGACCATGGGACACTCAGGACCATCGGAATCGTTGTGCTGACCAACCGTACGCCATTACCAACGTCGCCGTGGCAACTTCCTTAACTCTTGATATTCCTAGAGTCCTCTTACGAGAGAGGAAAGAAAGAACTTTGATTGAAAGGTTCATACGATGTATCGCGAAAAAAACGTAGAGGTCGATGGGGATGGTTCAACCAGGAGTGTTTGTGTTCCTGTGTCCGAGTGTTTCTTGACGACGCATTTTTTGAAAAAGCAGTTCTGAACGAGCGTGAGAACGCTGCACATGCGAAACCCTGACCTTCCTACATGTATGCAATTCAAATTCTACTTAAATCATACAGTTTTCTAACTACTCCAGATAGGTGAAACGTTAGTTCAACATAAACGATATCAAACCCCACCCCATTCATCCATCAAAAATATTCAACACATAATCTTCGCGAACGATTTAACTTTTACTTTAGCAATTTCGCTGTTCGAAATTTCGACCGTATTTTCCGACGGTACAGTCTTCTTTTGTTGAATCACAGAAGGTCGAACATCGTACTCCTCGATCATCTGAACGTCAGAGTCATCCGAACTTTCGTCGACGGTCACACACTCGATCGACTTCGACTTCGATACCGACTTCTTCTCCCAAACCACCTCTATCGCATCAACGTCATTTTGCTTAGACGGAGGATCAACCTTTTCACATTCAGACTTGTTAGTCTCTTCAGACTCGTTAGTCTGTCCAGACTCCTTAACCTGGTCAGAATCCTTAATCTGTTCAGACTCATTAATTTGTTCAGACCCCTCAACCTGGTCAGACTCCTTAATCTGTTCAGATTCCTTAATTTCAGACTCCTTAATTTGTTCAGACTCCTTAATCTGTTCAGATTCCTTAATTTCAGACTCCTTAATTTGTTCAGACTCCTTAACCTGTTCAAACTCCTCAACCTGGTCAGACCCCTCAACCTGGTCAGACTCCTTAATCTGTTCAAACTCCTTAATCTGTTCAAACTCCTTAATCTGTTCAAACTCCTTAACCTGATCAGACTCCTTAACTAGTTCAGACTCCTCAATTTGTTCAGACTCCTGAACCTGTTCAAACTCCTCAACCTGTTCAGACTCCTCAACCTGTTCAGACTCCTCAACCTGTTCAGACTCCTCAACCTGGCCAGACTCCTCAACCTGGCCAGACTCCTCAACCTGGCCAGACTCCTCAACCTGTTCAGACTCCTCAACCTGTTCAGACTCCTCAACCTGTTCAGACTCCTCAACCTGGCCAGACTCCTCAACCTGGTCAGACTCCTCAACCCGGTCAGACTCCCTAATCTGTTCAGACTCCTCAACCTGGCCAGACTCCCTAATCTGTTCAGACTCGCCAGTCTGTTGAGAGTCGCCAATCTGTTCAAACATGTCAGTCTGTTCAGAGACGTCAGTCTGTTCAGAGACGTCAGTCTGTTGAGAGTCACCAGTCTGTTCAGACAGGTCAGTCTGTTGAGACCCATTAGTCTGTTCAGACACTTTAGTCTGCTGAGACCCATTAGTCTGTTCAGATACTTTAGTCTGCTGAGACTCCTTAGTCTTTTCAGACTTGTCAATGTTGATATTGAACAAGTGCTCGCATAGTGCATGAGCAGTCTTCTTGTGCTGATCCAACGTCTGTCGGTCAGCGAAGCTTGATCCACAGGTGGTACACGTTAAGCCATCTCTGACATTTGCATAACTGAACTCGTTTAATGTTGTATCGAAATGTGTCAACATGAAGTGCGTTTGGGATGCCTTTGGAATCGGTCCACTTTCCTTCGTTCCAATAATACCGGCCCTAGTACCCGCCTCCTCAAATCGACCTCCTTCCATGGCAGCACTGTTCCCTGTCTCAGCACACGTGGAAGCACATGGATCAACATGGTGGATATGTCGACCACCTAACTTGTCCTTGCCGTGAAGGTGGATGACGTGCGAGTAGACGGCCACGGAGCTTCGAAACTTGTCGTCGCAATGAGGACACAAGTACTTCAACAAACTGTTCGCCTTGGCGGAATGTTTCTTTAAATGTGCTTGCATCAACGTAAGCCATAGAAATCTACGGCCACATTTCGGGCACTGATGATTCCCTTTGTTCCAGAACCGCGACCTGTGCTTCGCCAGATGTTTCGGGCTGCTGAACGTTATGTCACATTCCGGACAGTTCACCATCAGTTTGTTCGTAGTTTGAGAAGCCGACATCGGCATCAAAGAATTATTAGCTATCGTCATGGACTTGATGAACATCGCAGTCTGCTCGATGGTGTCTGTACCGTTAGGCAGTTTGGTCAACGTGTACATCTTAACGTTGTTGTTGCCGAAGATTTCGTATCGATGCAGGTGCATCACGTGTACTCGAACGTTGTTCGCGCACGTGAATCCCTCGTTGCACAAAGGACACCGGTGTCGAAACAGAGACACGCTAAGCGTGGAATGCTTCAGCTTGTGCACCTCGAGTACGTAGCAATTCGAGAATTTCCTGTGGCAAATGCTGCAGCTGAACGCGCCTATGTCCGAGTACTCCAGCAGATGTTGCTTCAGATCAGCCGGTGTTTTGAACTTGGAGTCGCAAGTCCAGCAATTGAAAGTGCCACCTGAGATGTCGAGCAAAGCAGCGCTGTCTAATGGTTTCAGGGAGGTGTTTCGCGGTCTCGACGGATCCACGTTGTTCGTGTGAAAATGTTTATCGTGACACATGATCGAGATACTGGTCGTCAACACTTCCCCGCAGAAGCAGCATTTGTAAGTACTGTTCGACTCGCAGTCGGTGTGACTCAAACATTGATGCCTAGCAAGAATGGAACTGGTGTGACACCTACGGTGGCATCCTTTGCACTCGAAGTCGCCGTCCGCCGAGTATTCCACCTTGTGCACCAGTAAGTCCTTCGTGTTGGTAAAATGCAAGTCGCAAACGTTGCATCCGTACATCTTCACCGGTAGACCTGCCGATTCCGCCGCCGAGACGTCCATGTTGGGAGTCAACGCGTAGCTGTGATCTTGCATGGTGTTCAAAGTGTTCTGCACAGAGGGCTCGTTGTGCAGGTGAACGTGCCATTTATGCGCGTGCAAATGGGAATCGTAGGAGAACATCTCGTTGCAAACGTCGCACGTGTAAATGTACGACTGTCGTTTGTTGTCCGGACGATGCGTCACCTTGTAGTGATGATGAAGCAGATACATACCTTGGAAGGACTCCGAGCAAAACGTGCACGCGAACGTTTGCCCCTGGTAATAGTACATGTTATGCTGGACGAAACGTTCGTAGGACTCGAACATCAGATTGCACACGCTGCATATGGTGTGCACGCTGAAGATACGATCGGTATTTTGCAGCACTTTCGTATTAACGTGCAAGTGTCGCTCGTGTATCTGAAGGTTCATCCTTTTCACGAAACCTTGGTTACAGTATTGACAGATGAACTTGTAATGCCCGGCATTCGAAGCTGTGTGAGCCGCGAGCATGTGAATCTGCAGTAGTTTCTTAGTGGGGAACGCGGTACCGCAAGTGTTACACCGGTTAATTAGAGGTTTGCAGAAGGTACGCTCGTGCATACAAAGATTGGGGAACGTGCGGAACTGTTTGTCGCAGATAGTGCAGGGAAAGACCGCGTCGTTTTGAGCGTTTACTTGGTAACCCTTCGCGTACGCCATACCGTTGATCAGCCTTTTGTTCACCACGTTATGCGATTCTAACGGGAAAATGTCGATTTTAGAACGATATTGCGTATTTCCATTCGGACTAACCGCCGGTTGCTCGTTCGGTGGAACACTGGGAGCTTGTTTTTTATCGACCACCGAGCTAGATTTCTCGTTATCTTTCTCTATCGAGACCGACGAAGATCTTGGCTGTTTGTCAGTCGTCCTGGTTTTCATTCGACGACACACCTTCTCGTGCTGCGTCAAACACACTTTCAACCAAAATCGTTTTAGGCAACCTTTGCATCGATGGCGCTTCTTGAACACGTTGCAGAGTGGTTCGATGTCGACCGGTAGAGTGTCTTTCTTGGACTGCACGGTTTTCACGCAATGTAACACCAAGTGTTGCTTCAGCAGTATCGTGCTGTCGAATTTCTCGTCGCACACGCAGCATTTCTTATGCATGGGGATGAGATGCTGCCGCCAGTAATGGCGCAACAGCAGGCTCATGGTCTTGAAACGCGCGTTGCATATGCTCGACATGTAGATCACGTGGAACAGTTCTTTGTGCTCGCGCATGTTCTCCTGTGACAGGAAGAACTTGTCGCAGAGATTGCAACGAAACATTCTTACCAATTTAGGCTTCACTTCTTTCTCGTGCAAATCTGACTGTTGTTCAGCTGTCGTTGGCTCATTCTTACAAGGCTTTATCACCGTAGACGATCCCGCCGATGGAGTTTCTATAGCTTTCAACGATGCGTCGCCTTCTAGATTCGTTTTCTGTACCTCTTCGGAATTTTCTTCCACTCTTTCTGATTCTACTTGTTGAGAAACGCTCTGCGACACGTTAGTCTTCGCAACTTTATCGCATCTTTCCAGATAAATCGCACAATCTTTACACGTAGTCCTGATCTTTTTCTCTAGCGAAAACAATGCTTCTTTCTTAGCGTTTCTTTTTCTTTTACGAGATTCTCTTGCACTCTTAGGAGATTCGGGATCAGTTGAATTGTTAGAACCGGCTCTGGTTTGCCTGAAATTGTAAGGAGTACTCCGTGAAGTAGTAGGAGTTGTAGGACTCGTTATATTCTTGCTTAGAAATGACATTATTAGGTTTGGATACATGTGTATTCGAACAAACGGTTTTTTACTATCGAGCATATCAGTTTCGGGACATTTAACCGGTGTGGACATTTCAATGTCCTTCAGAAGTTTCGACGAATCGTTTTCGAATTCGTCGGGTGTTTCCGGTCGTCGACCAGAAATATTCTCTAAATCGGTGAGATTCTCTGGTGTAGAACGTTCGTTCTTCACGGTGGCGTTGCAGAACGAAATGAAGTCCGTAAGAGTGGTCTGTTTCATCTTTTTCGAGGGCGTGCCGCAGGACTTGATTAGATTTCTCGACAGTGGACTGTTCAACTTTTTCCTAGGCGTGTTCTCCGAATATTTCAAATTGTTCACCGTCATCGTTGGCGTGCTAATCCATTTCGTCGACGTTGAATCCTTCGACATTTCAGAACCAGTGTCCACCGAATCCTCGTTAACATTTTCCATCGACGCATGTTCCACGATGTTCCCAGGATTGAATCGACCACCGTGTATCGCGTCTCCGTGTTGATGAAACAAATGAGACTGGATAAGGCTTCTGCGGAAAAATCCTCGCTCGCAAAAGTTGCAAACGTAACGAGGCTTCGGACCGGGTCCGCCTCCGCAACTGCTCTGATAGGTAATCTTATGAAGGGCATAGTTCGTTTGCGAGGTGAACGACTTGTGGCAATTGTCGCACATGAACGGTCTACTTAAAAACAACCTATGCATTACTAAGCCGCGTGCTTTTTCAAACGATACCAAACAAACATTGCAAACTACTCTCTGACGTTTTTTCATACGTTCCAATTCACTTCTTCTGTTCCTCTCGAAAAGTGAACAACTTCTTAATTCTATGACTTTCGAACTCGATTTCGCAGCTGACACCTGTTTACCTTCTGTAAAATTAACAACATCTGAAGACTCATCTTCAGGCGTTGCTATCCTACTTTGATCTTCTCCATTTTTACTCATCGAAGAAGAATCGTCATGAGTAAGGATATCTGGATCGAACGGTTCTTCCTTTATCTTTATCCCATGATTAGACGGCTGAAAAAAATATATAAACCTTATGTAACATTCTAGGGAAGAAGTGTAGTTCTTGGAAAAATTTTTCATCGTAAATTACAGGAACAATAGCGGGTAGACGATTTTTTAGATTCGATTACATCGATAAACGATATAGAGTGTGGTAAAATTTTTGGAAACGCTAGGATTTCGTTTTATGTAAAAAAAATTGCAAGGAATTATTGAAAATAAATATTTGTATACAAGGCAATGTGACTCGCGGCGTATTCAACGCCCGAACAATAAAGTCTGGGGTAAATGATAAGATAAGTGACTGAAAAAGAGGGGGAACTGTGTACGAATGACCGTCAGCAGCTGCTAAAGGTTGTCGCTCTTTCACTTATTACGTATCTATGCGTGCTGTACGAAGTTCCCCTTCCCACTCCAGGTAGCCTTTCCAACACAGAGTCAAACGAATTCGTCCTTTACCACCACTACCGTTATGCCAGAAAATATTTACCGTGCGTGTGTACGGAAACATTCGTTTAATAGTGCACGTGAGAATTTGATAATTAAAATAAAGAAAATGTTAATATTGCAATGTTAAAACCTTATACAAATATTTATTCGTCATATGGAATTTTTCATCGGTAACATACTAGTAATTTGTGTTTCGTAAAATATGAGAAATATAACGAGTAAATACAAATGATAAACAATGTTTTAATTATAATTTCATAATGGTTAATAATGAAAATTATGTTATTCGAAAGAAGTATTCTGTTTATTGGAATAATAATATGCGACGCAATTTATTCGTAATATGATATCGCTATATTCGTTAACATTTATAAAATTATACGTTGAAGAGGAAAGGTACAAATGTAATTTTAAAAAATCTTGCCAAGTCAGCATCGCACAAATAAAGAAATATGTTAAGAGCTTTGAGGTTAGCAAATCAACGCAATGATGAACTGTAGGTAAACATATAAATTTAGGAGAATATGCACATACAAAATCATAAAATGCTTTAAAAACTATTCTTATATATAACTAGTTTATTACAATGATCATCTTCAAGAAAGAAAAGATATTACAATTTCTTTAAATATAGGAAACATTAACTTCGATTCGGTGCTTCAGCTTCAGTTATTTCATAACGTATGTATTAATGTTTTAACATTTGGAGACAACAGGAGAAAAACATGATAGGTCTATTTCTGCTGATTTTCTGATTTTTATATTTTCTGTTAGCTAGAAGGGAGTACTTTGATAAGACAGTTGAAAGAGATCAACCTGTCAAATTGAAAAATATAAGCCCCTTAAAAATGGGCGTACAGGGAAATAACACAAGTCCAAATGAATAAACGTGAGAATAATTTGATAAATCCGGGAAATACTCAACTCATGCATACTCATAAAAGAAAACAAACCAAGAGCGTAACTAATATTATAACAATCGATATTTTTGAAGTGTTCAAAAGGCAAAAGCAAATTGAAAACATTGTGTTCTTCCCCTGTGCTCTTCATTTGTTTTCTCTCATAACAATCAGAAAAGAAACTTGTATTTTATAACACAGACATAAATAAAATAAAGCATATGTATATATCGGTATAAAATCAAATTATTAATTGCACTCGAAGCCTTTCTAACTAAATAAACTTTTAAAATGTACTTACATCTAGTTTGTCAAGCTGTATGTCTACCAGCACTGCATCTACGGACCGCTTGTAGATGATGGCACGAGCCATTTGTCCTACGAAGTTATTTATTTTCACATTTAGACAATTTGCTTACTTGTGCTGTGCTCAAAGGAAATCTACAATACGAAGATACTAATGTTCTCAAAGCATAATCTATTCTGCGGTTAAAATATTTCAGTGATACTCGATGTTATTTGCTTTCAAGACTATAGAAAGTATTCTTGTACAATAGAAATGAACATTTCAGAAAGAATAACACAAACCAACGAAAGACTGAAAGGGACAAGAAATACTTTAGGTTCGCATATTCTAAATCATGCTATCATGTGTTAAGTATTCCTTATTATTGTTTCACTAGAATGAAACATATATTAACATGCACTTACTTATATGCAGTAGAATTCTGATAATCCGGCATGTTCGGGACTTCGACAGTGCCAGATTATTGGACTATATCTATGTAATGAGGTAAAATCGTGGAAAATAATATTAAAAAACGACCATATCTATGTAGACGCAAAGCATTATAAAGCATGCAAAAGATGTCCACAAAATTTCGGGCTTCTTCCGAAAAGGACGAAATATTAATGAAAAATATGAGAAACTACCCTATCTTTTAATAGAGCAATAATAAGAAATATAAACGGAAAACAATACATCCATTAAATTATATAGGAAAAAGAAAAAGTATGGTACATACAAAATTCTCAAAATACATAATTCGTGGTTAGAGATACGCGTGTCGAACTATTGGATGTGCCGAATCATCAGATGTCAGATTGTCGGAATTCTACTGCAAAATTAAAACATAGATTTCCTTTTATGCACACGCAAACACAAAACTGACCAGGAAAGTAACCACCGAACTTCACACACTATTCTAGTAATACCGCGCGAATTAAGATGGCGGCCATCTACCTGAACACGACACACTGACTTTCAACGCAGTTCAGACCATTCTAACTGTACTCATGGCGGCCCGGAAAGTAACCTCGAAAAACTAGTTCAGTATATTCGGCGCGAAAAATTCAAATGTTCTAATGTTATATATTTTAGCAAAATATAATACTTCTATATTTTAATAATGAAGTTACAATATAATTTTCAAACGCATTATACTTAGGCAGCACGTTATCGTGCTATATAAGTTCCATATTTTTTCGTACTGTTTTTCATAAATTCTACACCAATTAAAAAGTCACGTTTACCAATCTGTGCTGTTGCTAAGCACTTAGCTTGGCGAACTTCAGATCACTATCGTGTTTAGCGTACTTATAAATAGAAAACGCTCATGTGCATACTTACTTTTTTACATACTTCCAAGTAACGTTTGCTTAACCAAGGTAAATATAATTTGATAGCTGGTAGGTTTGTGGTGATAGAAACATGCCACGAATTTGTTTTTCGAATACCGATTTATCGTAAGAATTAAATTTGGAAACCATCGATGGTGTGCGATTTATGCTCGATGGTAGAACAAAGGAGGCTAACTGTTTCGTGAATTCCGCGAGTCGAAATGTGTGCCAGACATCCCAAGTTTTTTTTCTCTAGTCTAACGACGGACGGGACGACGTGCCGACCCGTGCTCATCATGCCGAACAAAAAAAAAAAAGGTTTGTGTTCACGGATTACTATAGAACGTAAACACGAAACAGCTCGCGAGCCCGTTTCAATCCTTAAGAGAATTCGTTATGCAACATTTTTTATGCAATTGTGGCGCAGTGAACTCGTTAACGATACGAGCATTAAAGAAGTTGGTCGGTGAAACTTGGAACAAGTACAAGCTGTAAGCAGTGTAAAACACCATTCAAATATTCTCCTGAATTATGTATATCCTGCAGAAAGGAAAGGAGGAAGCATCGAAGAGAGATAGGCAGGTTGGGTTTCAGCTGGTCTACGTCGGTCTCCTCATAAAGAATTCACGATGTGCATTAGATTCAATTCCGTTTCACGCGAACGCCGGTTGTGCGTTCACATCTGAGCAGATGTTACAACTAAATATAACGCTACATTCCGATCGAAAACTCTTTTCGAAAGCTCTCAATCATAGTTACGCATATATCAAAAATAACCAATTCCCACTTGTGAATTTTTTTTCCGAAAATGTCCCTGTTGTCTGCATCAATGTTGGCACCACTGGATCACGTGAGCAGTCCAACTACATGTACATATAGCGCACATAAAACAACGTGTTATAAACATCTCGCCAGCGGGTCTTCGCATCCATCATAGTGACGGTATCTCCAACGAACAACCGGTTCCAATTAAAACGGGCATTCGGTGCTCGTTTCGTTACCAACCGTAGGACCAACTACGCTATATTTCCCCTACGATCGAACATGTAGAAGCAATACGTGATCCAATAACGCGACAAAAAATAGTTACTTCAAACATGTCGTTACCAATCACGTGTAATGTATGCACCACTATGAGGAAAAAAAAAAGAGGGAACACGTTTAATTATTCTCTTGTTGTTATACATTGCTATTAGGTGGAAGCAACGTAGATTAAATTATAGAGAAAATATCGAAAGTAATAATAAAGCTTCTTCAATTGCAAAAAGCTTTTCCATCGATTAGGCAACTAGGAGTAATCGGGTAGCTCGAGGATAAGAATACAAGCATAACGAAGAGCATGGAACAGTTGGCTATCGCAGAGAAAGAGGGGGGTAGAGGATAGGGAACGGCGGTTACGTTCTGAGGCGCATCCATTCTGCCGTTGAGTGACGTGGAAACTTCCGGGAGTTGTCCAAGTTTTCTAAGTAATTAAAACCACTTAACACGATTTCGCCTAACTTTTTGATATCGCAGCGAGAAATCAGTTTTAAATTGTTCCCCAAGGAAAGTGCCGCAATTGCGGCGCAATCATCACTCTTGACAACTTTTAATTATGTCATTGGAATATTCTTTGCCGATTGTACTATGCTATGCATTCGTTATAAGCCGACCTCCCGCGCTCGCCAATCCTCCATTGTCTCCGCCACAATCGCATCCTTTTTTGCATTCTTTTGTTCGAGGTAATTATGCTAGGTTATGATACCCGATCCCTTGGATGTCGTCTCGTCCTTTCAAGTATTGCATACCACTTTTGCATAATTAAAAAGTAAAGGGGAAAGAATTAAAAACGAACGGTTCGCAAGGGGAACCCGAAATCTTAAGGCTGAAGTTTGTTTACGCTTCCGTTTGACCGAGTTGACATTGGTAAGCACACCCGAATCTCGATACTACGCCAATCCCTAGAGAGTAGTCTGAAATTTGACTGGAAATCCTATTATCTCAGGCCTCGAGGCACAATGTTATTTAGTTCTAGATGACTGCGTCAACCGATTGCTAGAAATACGGTACAGATTACGCCAAGACGTTTACACGTAACATCTGTAAACTAGATGTCCACGGAGGTCGTCTTGGGATTCTCTTCGATCGAGTAATAAAATGTTTACGATAGATACGGATTATCAGGTTACATATACGTTTATCGTGCAGCAACATTCGTGGCAACAGGAACTTTGCAAGTACAGTCTGTGCATAAGAAACGAATATACACAACTGTACCGTAAGAGCCGAGGTAGATGTACCAAGTACAAGTTCCGGGCAAATTTGTTTATCGAGCATGTTTACTTGATTATGATAACGTACACACGATGTAACGACGTGGCGTGGTAGTATTCCGATATTGTCAAACGTTGGAAGACCTGATGCGTGATTCCTTATTACCGGTGTAACAGCTTCGATCCATAATACACCGGTAATCCTACAGACGACAGATTAATGTAAAGAGTACAGTAGGGAGGGAAGGGAGTAAGATGGATGGTTGATAATAACGACACCGATAGGGTGGTTATGTCATGGGTAAAGCGATGTCTCACGAAAGATATGCCATTAAGATGGATTCGCGTCTTATGAGACTAAGGTGACGCCTGTCTCCAACATAACCTCCACAGATTCCTATGTCGCAGAAACGAATTGACGTTCGTAACTTCAGCTCTTTCTTCTCTCGGGCAAGATTAATATCCTCTCCGTAACAGTGTGCTCGATATTCAATCGCGGCGAGTAAAAGGAAAGAAATTACTATCCGGTTTCAAATGCAGAAACGCGGAAATCGATGTTCACTTTGATCGTGTAACATGCGATAGAAATCGAACGTACTACAAACGATAGACGATTCGATATTTCATTTGTTAACTGTGGTACGTTCGTGGTCAGATGTTTCGGAAATGAAATCGCTCGTTTCGATTAATTTCGTCGTGTTGAATCAAAGCGGCTAAGATATAGAGAGAATGTAAAGCGTAGAATGTAAGAAATCGGTCACGTGGATTATATAAAGAAAGATCGGAAATTAGAAGTGACGTGTGACCTGAAGGGGTCACGTGACAAAAATGGCGCGATGCTGTAAGGCGTAGTAGAGGGCACCAGTGTTCCGTTATGTAACGAAATCTCTCGACTATAAATACCGAGGTCTTAAATATAGCTATTTTTTCTAGTAATTTCATTTTATTTAATAATTTACATCTTGCTTCTCCTCTCTTCTGCAGTATTCGACTTTATCGACCGATGGTAAAATCACTGTTCTTCCTTACCGATTCACGTTACTAATTGATACGTGATTTTTTCTTTTATCACAATACGATAAGTGCTCGATGTATGAAAAATTTCTACTATACAGTCGCTCTTATTTACTTGATACTAGTGGCGGTTTATTTGAATACTGTAAGAACTTCTCAAAGCGAGAGTGAAAGTAAAGATTGAAAAAATAAGCACAACTGTAAAGTACTTTTACGCAAAAGATTGAAATTCACGGAGATATCTTTTCCAGTCCATACTTGGTCGGTAGATAGATCTTTCTGGGAATTTCGATCAGGAGCGGGATTTTAAAGGGGAAAGTAGGGGTAATCAGAGAAACGACAATAGAAACACGATGCTACGTGAAAGTGCTTTATTCCTTTCGGAGATCGTTCATCGCAGACATCGGCGTCGGGAATGCCGCTCTCATTTTTCTTTTTTTTTCATATATGTGTACATACATGTATAAATATACATACACACATGTAC